AACAAAAAAAAGCTTTTCGTTTGTCTATATCCGCATATCTTAATTTGAAAATATTTGTGTATTATTCTTTGCTTAAAGGAATACTATATTAATCTAATGAATCTATTAAGTAGTATTTATAATGAAATTTTTTTAAAAATGAATATTATGAAAGATTTATATTCGATATTAGATAATAATCATACAATAGATCATTGCAGTAGCTCTTTCGTTTATCTCCTCATTAAGGTTAAAATTATCATATGCATATATCTATACATATATATGCATAAATACATTTTATATCTGATAAAAGTCGAGAATCCAAGGAGAAAACAGCTAAAATCAGATTTTTTTTGATTAAAAAATCGAGGGTAAACACACGATTTTTTTCGAGTTTTAACTAAATTCAAATTAAGAAAATCAATTTAATCAAAAACTTTAGAAATATAAAAATAATTGGAAAATTGGAAACGTCACTTTTTGTAATGATTATAATGAAACTCATTCTCGAGATGTACGAAACATTTTCTATTAACAGCCAAGTTTTATTTTAAGACTTAAATTATAAGAAAACACTTAAAATCAAGACACACAATTTTCAAAACAGACCTTTTTGAATACGTAGCGGTGTTGATAAAAAATATTTTACCACGTAAAAAAGTCTTCATCTTGAAATTAAATGATAGAAGAAATAACAATCATAATAATAAATTGTTTGAACAATATGGACATCAGAAACCAATTTACATTAGTCAAATAACGTCATTTCACTTGCGTAATAATGTAAAGTACAAAAACACAATATAACGAATGAAAAGAAATTAGCAAAGACGTAGAATGGTAAATATATATATACAATATAAAGTTGTTAATATCAATATGTTATTTAATCTTGCATTATTTCTAATTCTTTAAAATATCTATTTGTATATAATAATAACGGCAAAACACTTGTAAATTATATTTCTAATATAAAATATAGAGTTTATGGTTCGAACAAATATACGTAGATGTATATGAGTAGCATATTAGTAGATGCTTATAATACACATAAAGATTAAATACGAATGTACAAAAAGTATTGATACACTTTTTGAGCTTGTTCTTAGTACAATCTTGAATAAAATTTATTAATATGTCATTTGATCCTTCATCAGTTGCATGAATTAGATCATGTTGTGAATTTTGGGTTTTTTTTTCTAATTTTGGATTTGACAAGACTCCATACTAGCTTAGTCGTGTTAAATTAAGGATAGTAGCTTGGTCATTGACATAACTCAATATATTATATGCTTAATTAGGGAATGTGACCCATGAAGCATTGAATAACCTATTAAGAAATATTATTCAACAATGCATTAACAAAATTCAGAAAGTCTATAGTCACTTTGCATAGTCTTATAACATTTTTCTATGTCTTATAAGTATCTACTCTTTTACTATTCATATATATATTTCATAACAGAAACACAATTCACAACTACTTTGTTACTGATCGATAAAACTGAGTATTCATATAGTGCTCAGTGTTACAATAGAATTCATGGGAGGGGGATGGAAGGAGCGGATCCCGAAATTTCGAGATCTTCTATAACTGTATCCGTGATAAGCGTGATCTGCTTTTTTTCTCCTTGAAAAGAATGTATCACTTTCCGAATCATTGCTAGTTGCATTATGCAGAGGATGTCTTTAGTAAACTTAATATGTTTATTGTCATGTATTGAGAGCTCTATGTCTAAAATCCTCAAAATTGTTTCTTGAGAGTGCTAATATTTGATGAAAAAAGATTTGGGATATCCTGTAAAAAAAAGATGGCCATATACATGTCAATGAGTTGAATAACTACTACAACCGTAAACTAACGAAATACAGCGTCTGGTTGGATGATATTGATGTAAACCATCATGATCTGTTAAAATATACAGTATAAGAAAAAAAACTCTCATGGAATGTAAACGCTAAAAGTTTTTCTACATGATTGATAGTTTGAATCAATTTCTGAGAAATATTTATATTATCACGTATACATAGTTAGTTGTTGCCTAAGTAACGATGAAAATGCAGCTAGCAGTTAAGTCTGTAAGGGCCTTTGCATGTTTTTACATTTATGTCAAACATTCATAGGGTGGCTTAAAGTGAAAAGTCGCTCGACAGTTTTGTCCCTCTTATTCGACATTCTTTTTAAATAGAATTTTATTCTTATATTTTGTGTATGATCATTTTTACTACGCAGATTACTGCATTGAAATTACGTTAATAGAAAAGTAATCATTTTGAGTTTGACTTTTCATAGAAGAAAACTTATTTATGAAAAAAAATGAATTTTCTTGATGTAAGAAGAGATCTGTAGATACAAAATTGAATGTTTTTTGAAAAATCTGATTTTTTTTAAAGAACCATATATTTAAGAAAAGACAAATCTTTCATGAGAAAAGTTAAACTCGAAATTCGAAATTCGAACTTCAAATTCGACTTCTACGATTCCAATTTACTGTCATAAACCTTTATGAAAAACCGTTATTTTCCCCAAAACACCTTTCCTTACTCAAAAATTTGAGCCTGATTATGATTATTGAGAACATCCTTAAGATGCGTTATTTATATTTGATTTTTTGAAGTTGAAGGGACACCTATAAACGTTAATTGGTTGAAAAAAATATGGTTTACTTTTTTTATCAAATCCAGCCGTTATTGATGCGCAATAGAACCATTAATATGAAGATTCTGAGTGAAGAAAAAGTTAAGAGTAAAAGTAATCGCATCAAATTTCAATAGCATTTCCAGCTAGGATGCTATTTGGAAACTCTTATCAATATACTTCGACAATTTGATGCCTTCATCTGTATACTAACTAGTGTGTAATCCAAGGGAAAGCCTATAACAGTTGAAATCTAACAATATCGTGGATAACAGAGCTCCTCGGGACGCGGTACGAATCCCGTCCCGGGACGGGACGGGATGGGACGATAAAACTGAAAATTGCGCGGGACGGGATGGGACCACATCTCTGTCCCGCCAATTTTATACAAGCAGAATTGAGATTGAAATTGAGTATGTATATTCATTGCCGTTTTGCGATATCTATCAATTGTTACACATATAGATGATAGAAGTCATTCGATTAGTTGTTTTCACACAATTGAATTTGTCACTTGTATGAAAACACAACTTGGTTTTCCTGTGATCGTTAAAAATCGTGGTCATCGTGAAGAAAAGGTTTTTCATGTAAATGTTATTGTGTAACTGATAAATAGTGAAATAAATGAATTTCATTGAACAAGAGAGTATAAATTAGCTAGTTGGTTTCAATCACATTGTACGATAAAAAGAAAGAATTACGTTTATATGTTAGAATAATCCGGGATGAGACGGGGTGGGACAGGACGGGACTCTAAAAAGTGAATATTGCGGGACGGGACAGGCGGGACAGAGCTACGCGGGACGCGGGACATATTTTTGGTCGTCCCGCGGAGCTCTGGTGGATAAAGTTCAAAAGAATTAGTTCACCAGTTGAATATAAAAATTTGACATTATCACTCAACTCCTATCTGCTGTAAGTGCTATCATTTCATCTGTGGACAATGAAATATGCAATGACTTGTCTAGAACGGCGAAATTTTACAAGAAACCTTCTATTTGGTGCTCTGTTTTATTCTCTTCTGATGAACATAAAATATGTTTCCGTCATCAGACAAAACTGAAAAACTTTTGATGGGATAGTTCGATATATAAACAATAAATCTGTCAGGAGAATGTTTTAAAAACTTCTGTTGGTCAGATTAGTAGACCTAAGTATTCCAATACAACTTTCGAACTTTCATTCAAGAAGAGACTTCTAATACAACGTAGGGTGCATGCATTGAACGATGCAATTTCTCACTGTTCTTCATTATGACCCAGAAGGGAAAACAACTACTTCCCCTTTACTTCAGAGTATAAAATATATATTAAATTAAATTACCGTATTTTTCTTTTTGTAATATTTCATATTAGTCAGAGGAACACGCAAGAAAAAAAACCGTAAAAATATGTTGAAATTTTAACGAAAACAAACTCGTCAAAGAATGCGTGTAAACCTATTCATAACTTGCTACATTTTCGAACAAATTTGCATTTTTACGAGATTATTTTCCTTAAAATTTCAATGTGTTTTTAAACGTTTTTTTGTAGCTTGTTCGTCTAATTTATGAGAAATAAAAAAAAAAAAGAATAATTTAATGGATTGAAAATATAGTAAACTATGGCTTAAGTGAAAACAAGTTATATTTCAAATAAATGAAGGTTGGATAATTAAGATTAATTTTTAAGTATAGATCTTCACAAAATTTGAAGTTCTTTCAAATTAACAAGGCAGCACTAGCTGTAGTGTGATCCTATCAGTATCACATGTTTTTATCGATATTCAGTCCGCTTAATTGAGAAAATATGACTGCTTTGTAAAGAGAATAACTGTGAAAGCATTATTAATGATTTTTATCATTTTTCTGGGCTATAAACACTTTTTTCAAATGTTCAATGTTCCGAATGACTGAGGTTTGTGAATGAAAAAGATGTAACTGTTGAGTTCATGGATTGCAGTCTATTTTAATTATTGGGGTGGTCTATTTTGGGTAAATAATGCATATTAATGGCCATTTTCCGCTTTTCATCTGACTAACAATTGTCTCTATTTTTCTTTTCAGATTTTCTGAGCTCTTTTTCTCTTCCCTTTTTTAATTTTCAGTATTTTTCTTTTCTACACTTTTCCTTAAACATTTCATCGTTCGAGATTTTTTCTTTCTGCAATTTGACATCATGTCAATAAAACAAATGAATGACATTCTCTTGCCATTGAAACATATTTAATAAATAGCGATGTTAATGCTTTCTTTTCTCTTCCTCCGGTCAATTCATAAAGAATAAAGATGAGTAATTATGAAAACAATGCTCGTCAAACGAAACGGACGAATGCATATTATTTATTCACATCGATGTATATATATATATGACTGAATATGAACAAAGAAGACATAAATAAAATGATCGTTAGCACGTTTGAATTGTTACCTGTGGATATTATTTTCGAAGTATTTGATTACTTGCCTCCTGTTGATATTCTTCAATCGTTTTTATCATTGAATAAACGTTTCTCTAGAATCATTATGAATGAATATTTATGGCACATTCACATTGGTAATTCAACAATGTCATTATCGATGTTCAATGATCTTTGCCAAAATGCTCTGAAAGTAGTAGGAAGTCGGCTGGTTTCATTACGCGTAACATTAACTAATGCTATTGGTGGATGGTCACTTGTTTCATCATCTCTGAAATATCATCAAACAACATTACTTCAACGTCTTCATCTGATCGATATCGAGCCGCATGAGTTTGATAACTTATTGCGTAGTCCTGTAATAAAACGATTGCATACTTTATTAGTAGATGTAACACAACATAATCCGTTTAATCGTCTTGAAGTTGAAGGAGTTTATTTAACAAAGGTAAGAAGAAACCTATCCCGTCAACTCATTCGGACATTTTTGGTTTTATTCTATGAGGAAATCATCACTTAATAATGTGGGGCGTAAAATTGAATCTTTGTATATTTATAAAAGGTGTGTTCACAACTATCTCTTCTAACAAATTGTCGACTTTCATTTAATGTTTATCATAAAAATCGATTTCTATTGGACAAATATTCAGAGATACCAAAAATAATTTTACCAAATTTATTAAATACAACTCATCTTCGTACATTATCTCTTGGTATCAATACAACACGCTTTCTCAAACGTTTAATATCGTGTATACCGTTTATTGAAAATCTTTCTATTGGTGTGGAAGATGTAAAAATGACCGAGAACGATACTTTTGACATGAACTCGTAAGTAACATTCTATCATCTATGAAGGTATCACTCACATGAATCTTTTCAGACTACCTGCCGCTGTCGATGCTAGTCTTCTTTTGTATTTATCACGTTTACATATATATTGTGAAAATAGCATTAGTTTTCGTCGAATTATTGCACTTTTGTCATCTGTATTTGGTCAACTTAGTCATCTATCATTAAAAATAGTAGCGTTTCTAATAATTCCTACTCCATTGGTTGTATCAGGTGACATTATTCAACAATTATGTATTGACCGTCTCAAACCATTGGCAACCTATAATCTTAATATAGAATTGGATGTCAAAGATGATTTGAAGCACAAAATAATTTACAACTCATTTTTAGATGCTCCATTCACTAATCGACAGCGCCCGAGAGTGTTTATTCAAGAACGTGGAAATTTTGATCTCGGTGATAATTATTATTGTTTTACAGTATTCACTTCACCATGTACAGACAGAATACTTCCAACATATTTTTTTTCGAGAGCTCTGCAACAGTACGTAGAAAATATCTTATTTGTGTGAATGATTTATGAATCTTTTTTCTTTCTATTTAGATCTTGCCAAATGCCAATTAATGGAGCACTTTTGTTTCCACGCGCTAGTGCGCTATTATTGACTGGCCACAGAGAAGAGACTTGCGTTTCAGAGCTCGGCAACTTTAGAAGTTCTATATCATCATTAGTTCCATGGTCATTATTAAGAAAAACTTCAATCGATGAAGGTGATGTTGTTACTACAGCTGAACTAGAATCAATATTACGGATGGCTTATAATGTTCATACATTAGAAGTATTGGAGGATAGTGGATTTTTTGCTCATGCTATATTGCATAATATTGACAATCTCGGTACTCTTGTCAATCAACAAGTAAGAATTCCTATTGTGAAAAAAGAAAATTTGTTTTTGAGATTAGTTTGTCTGAATATTCTTTTAAATATGATATTTACCTTTCTTTTTTTAAAGAGTGTCTGTTTATTTTTAATTCTTTAAATTTAATGTTAGGACCCAGGTCGAACGACACGGTCCGTTTACTGGAATCAGTTTTACGGACCGTATCTCTGTTGTAAAATAGCCGTAAGTAGCCGTCTTTTCACAATGTACGGTTCATACTACGTGTCTTTACTGAACACAGTAATACCAAATCGTTTACGGTAAAAATATGGCTACTTACGGCTATTTTACAATAGAGATACGGTCCGTAAAACTGATTCCAGTAAACGGACCGTAACGGAGTTCCGTTTTGATCGACCTGAGGAGAGAAAGAAGATTATTCTAAACGTTTAAGCTTATAACAAAGATATATTTCTTTCGATTTATCTTGCAATAAATAATATTATCTATTAATTAGGTACAAACTCTTATACTGAACGATAGGACATTGACATTCAAAAATACTGAAGAATTTTGCATATTAGTGTCGAATCAATTACCTAATTTGAAAAACGTTTCGTTTAATATTAATGATTCATATGATGGATGGAGTTGGAGACCGTCGCGTATTGTTGATGGTGAAAACAAATCTACAAAACTTGTTCTTAATGTTATATATTCCCTTGTTGATCATTTGCAACAACTTGTTTCTCTCCATATGTACTTAGTCAATTTCGGTCGCTATGATACACCTTGTTTTCCACATGTAATCCGACAACAACTACGTCAAAATCCACTTAATCGATTATATCGACTACGATGTTCTGCCGAATCTATTCAAGTCTGGCTTTAGAACTAAATTCATCTGATTTGAACATTTTCCTAAGGAAATTTTATTTATGTAGAAATATAAAAATAAAACCAAAACCATGCTCATTTTAACTGCGTTACTATTGAAATTTTTCAAATCCTAGTGAAAATGTTGTTTTTAGCCGACGATGATTGATGACTCAACATTTCTACTTCAATTCCTATTGGAAATATTTCTATAGTAAAGTAGTTTTATTTCGTTGTTCATACAAAATTTTCAGTAAAACATATTCTTCGAGTCATTACATATAGATTAGGTAGATTCGCTGGTAAAGAAGATATGTCAAATAAATAATATAATTATTCGATGCTGTTTGTTCATATTTGACCAACCAATTTAACTATATTATAAAGAATACTATAACAATAATCAGGCGTGATAATGGTTCTTGAAGGTGATCCCAATTGTTTTATACCATATTTGTAACATTTATGCGTTTTGTCTATCATTTCATTTTTTTCATCTAGAACTTTATAACTAAATATTTTGAGCTTTGATCTTATTCTAACTCATTCTTTGCAATTTTACTTCACAAATCTTCCTTATTAGATGGGCTAGTGAGATTTCTATACAGTCATACGAAAAACACTTGCTAGTTTATTTCTCCATCAACACAGATCCAAAATTACACTATTGATTATCCACATGTTTGTTATACAAATTGCGATAGTTTAACTTCACACGCCAATTTCACAAATAAAGCCCTATCAACAAATGAAAAAAATAAGATTTCTGGGCCATTCTTTGCGTCAAAAAAGTTTTGTTTTTTTAATAAACCAATTCACTAATTGCATTTTATTTAAGTCGTTATTAAAATATTAAAAAAATTTAAATGAGGAAAGGAAATGCTTGCTATCTCATCTACTCTGTCATTTAGTCTAGTTTAAATTCATTTCTTAACATATAACAACAAAAGAACGAATAGATTTTCATATCGGATTATTTCAATGATTATTTTGTTAGTTATTACATGTTGATAACTACATGATCATCAGTGCTTAACAACAAAGATGCAACTATGGCGGCAACCGTTTCGCCAGTAATCGTTCGATCAACAAGCGGTGATGGTTAACGACAAACGTGAACTTGCATTTTTCATTATGTATGAAGGCTATTTTTTCAAATTATCGGGTTTCTATTAAGTTAGATAAAAGACTTTTGAGGTAGAGAAAGCCGAATATGTCGGTTGTTTGCCAAAAGCAATCAAACTCTACAATCTCGAGAAACGATTTATAGATTTCTGTGAATCTGAAATCTTACATCCAACTTAGGTTTCAAATCATTTTTCTCAATCTTACCGGTGGACAACGTTGTTATTTAGTTGATTTCGTATTTTTCAAGAAAAAATAATGTTTCTTTTCTAAAATAAAAGTTTCTTTACATTAGGACCCTAGTGAAAGTACTGAGTTGAGGAAACCTGAGTACAAGGCTCTCGATGATTTTCAGAAGTGAAGGGGGCTAAAATTTGGCAGACAGTAAGATATGAACAGTCTATCAGAAAACAGATGGGAAAAAACCGTTTTCTACAATTTGGCAGATAGTTTTGAGCAAATATTTAAAATTTTCGCAGACACGACATGAAAATTGCCGAGGGCTAGTCCTCCCTTCCCACACACACGTCGAGGGTCTTGCCTGAGTACTGGGGCTGTTTCCAACAAGGTACTCAAAAATGATCATGTTACCAGTATGTCACAAGAACCTGGTCGGGTGCCTTGCTGAAAATTTGCCCAGTACTTGGGTACTTGCAGACACTTGCTCCAGTACTTGTACAATTCCAAATACACCGTACGAAATTTTTTTTGACAAAGTAGTTCAGTGAGCACCCAGAAATATATTGAAGATACGTGTCTCAATCTCAAGTACTCAAGAATTACCCGAAAGTACCCAAGTACTGAAGAGTACCTGTAGCATACTGGTGCCAGGGTACCCAATCCGGCTAGCAGGGTACGTTGAGATCAGTACTTGTACTAGAGCAGCTGTTTGTTTTATCGAACTTATACAAGCTAAACATCTTGGCTTATCATCAGATAAGTTTTCATTCTGTATGCGGGGTGAACTAATCTTTTCAACAATGCTAGTACCATTATTTAATTCATTATTATCAAATCAATCAAAAAATCAAGAATTAAGAAAACAATCTACTCTTCATCATGAACTTGATGATCATTCTAGAAAACGTCATGGTAATCTTCTTGATTAAAATAGACGTTTGACACAAATAGTAATTGATGTTCGCGCTTTTTTATATGCTACATATGCACGTTTTCGAAATATATGTTAAAATTGGTACTTCTTCAGATTACATCCATCCCTTGAATCTCAGACTGTGTTGTGCCAGTCAATGTATATAGAGGGTATGCTTAGGCATGCACCAAAACCAAAACTGGTTTTGAAGTTTTGGTTTTGGTGCATGCCTAGGTATGCTTGTTCTAAAGAAGAACCGAAAAATTCTCCAATTATGATTTTGTCATATTTCGTCAACTGATAGATTAAAATACACCGATTATTGATTGATCAATCAGAAGATAGTTCATTTTTGTATATTTTCAAATCAATCTGAAAAAAAGAAATATTTTTCGTAAGAATGACAATATTTTGTTAAGTAAACTAATCATAACTAATGAATACGAATGATGTCGTCGATAGTCGACAGATAAAATAAACCTAAAATAGAGGAGAACGAAGATCGAGATATGCATCGTCTTATTCATTTTTTTCTTGGTTATATATGGAATACAGTATTAGTATAGTGTTAATTCTTCATTTATAGTCGCTCGAAACGATGGCAATATTAATAGGGCTAGGTATCTCTGATATTTTATGAAATGATTCATATCTATAAATCGTAGATTTATAATAAAGTGTCATTAACATTTAGTGCTACTGATGTAATTCTATGGAATTATGAAAGGAAAACACCTTTCTGATAACTGATATTCTCTATTGTTTTCATTCACTACGTTAGAAATTATAATAGAATGATTATTGTTTGTTTATTGTAGATTAATTGGATATTACATGGCGTCAAATGGGTCGAACTTTTCAATAAAATTATCAGATGACATTGACGTTCTTCATTTACTTGCACCATTTCTGCTAAAATATCGAATATATACGTATGATTCTAAAGGGAAAAGCAAAGATGAAACTACACGCAAATGGAAGTACGAAATGTCGTACATTCCACATAAAGTTGATTTGGTCTTGGAACAGCATGAAAAGCATAAACATCGATATCGTCTTTCTCTTGTAATAATCGACGCTGCTGGCATTAGAATGCAAGAAAATCAGCCAATCATGCTCAGCCACGATGGATTGCAACGTCAAAATGTACCTGAAAAGTCAAATACATTTTACATGCATTACAACGATCGTCATGATGAAGAAACAGACTAAGAGAACTTTTTATTAAGACATGAAAAAAAACATCGTTCAAAGAGAAGAAGATAATGATGATGACAAGTTTATCGTGTCTTATATTTTCAAATATTGAAATAAAACATCTCGCATATTTATTATTATCGATAAAAACATTCTTCAATTTTATCTCTCTATGAAACACTAGCGGTGTTTTGTCTCTAAAGCAAATTAAGTCGACTGCTTACAACAGAAAGCAGAGATAGGTGATGACAGTCAGTGACTGTCATCATAGTTTACAACTAGATTGTGTTATACCAACAACCGTTTCGACTAAGGAAATAAAGAGAAATGTTTGTTCAATTGTGTAAGTTTATATTGAAGATGAGCGTTGTGAATTCATTAAAACGGTTCTTTTTCTGCATAACTTGCTGAGACAGTAATGAAGTTTACTGATTTTTCAAACGAAATTAATGAATATAACTTTTCTGGCATTTTTCATCAGTAGCTACACGAAGGATTTAGTTGTAAAAATCGTTTTAGTAAGTGAAAAGGCCTTGCCGATTTGAGATAACATAAGTAATAGAAAACATCAGGAAGTCCATTGATAATACTCGTCGAAATCGGTGAAAAACAGTATTACCTGTCTAATTTTATGCTTATAGAAATATCGTAGAACTATTCTCCAGATGTACATATTTTATGACTGAAATTTGAATTTAC